TGGTTTTTTTGGTACCTCCTCAGGTTTTGGCAAGATTTTCACCTCTAGACTTTGGTTTTTTTGGTACCTCCTTAGGTTCTGGCAAAATTTTTCTTGAAAACCTTGCCAAAACCTGAGGAGGTACCAAAAAAACCAAAGTCTGGAGGTCAAAATCTTGTCAAAACCTGAGGAGGTACCAAAAAAACAAAAAAACACAAAGTATTCGATGTCTCCAGGCACCAAGACTTCTGGAACTTTGGGTTTTTTGGTTTTTTTGGTACCTCCTCAGGCTTTGGCAAGATTTTGACATCTAGACTTTGGTTTTTTTGGTACCTCCTGAGGTTTTGGCAATATTTTTCTTGAAAATCTTGCCGAAACCTGAGGAAGTACCAAAAAAAACAAAATTCTTGAGATTTCCAAGCCCAAAACCTCTAAAGCTTTGGTTTTTTTGTTTTTTTGGTACCTCCCCAGGTTTTGGCAAGATTTTGACATCTAGACTTTGGTTTTTTTGGTACCTCTTCAGGTTCGGGCAAGATTTAAATGGGAACCCTTACCGAAAACCAAATGAAGTACCAAAACATCAAAATTCTGGAGGCCAGGCACCTGGAGACCTCTGAAGCATTAGTTGTTTTTATGGTACCTGGAACATTACTAACTCCTATCACCTTACTAATACTCCACAAACCTGCGATTTCCTGCTTTTTCGGACTCTCAATATGGTTTGCTGTCACAAATTCTCCGTTGAGGAGTTCTTGCAACGACGCATCTCTCGCCATTCGTCGAGACGTAAGTAATATTCTCGTCCTCCTTTCTCCTTGAAGAGCATGCCTTTGTATCGATACACATTGAAGCCTCAGGGCTTCCAGGTGCCAGTAAAAGAAGATTTTCAAATAGTGTTTCACAACAATAAAAAGATATTATGTTATCAGCAAGGTTCCTGTACTCAAAGTTCCGACTAGACGCGGCGATTCTGTAGGTGCTGCCGGTATTCCTGTGTCATCCTTTCGAGGATCCGAATACTCCGCTATGGTATTCCAGGCTTCAAGAGGAAGAATAACACGCGTCTGCATACACCAGCACCACGACATCCCAGCTGATTTCCGTTTGGAAGGACTAGGTTGCTATGGGTTCGAATATGGAATGGCAGCTGCATTTATTCTTGGCAAGACCTTTCCACTAGTCTTATAATTTTATACTATCTGTAGTATTGGCACCCCTCTAATCATAGGAACCCTCAGAAACATCGAAATTAAGGATCGCTAATAAGGGCACTCAGCTTCCCATGCTAAGCTTGCCGTGGATTTGTTTTCCAAGCAAGGCAGAGTTATACATTCTTTTAATCTTTAAATCTCTATAATCAAGATACATTATAGGGAACTCCACAATTGACACCACTAATCACTAATCCTCATGAAGCAGGCTCCAACACACATCATAGAAGCATTTCATCTAGAGCGGGTGCAACATTAGCAGAAATAAGTCTTACCTTATGCTACTTCATCTTTATTAAGATGTAAAGTCTCCCTACCCAAGTCGCAGTTGCTGCAGCGAGGCGGTAGCCGCATGGCACCACAGTTTTACGATTTCCTCGATACCCTTATGCTTTCCATACTACACTATTAATTAGTAACAGCTAAACACTACTCTTTGCAAAACTCAGGTCATCCAACCAAGCCCCTGGGCTTGCACTGCTAACCCCACAACGTTAACAACAAAGCTATACAAACACCACAAAGCCAAGCACACTCTGAGCAACAAAGTCTGGGTTGACAGTAGGCTGGATAGGCGATTACAATGCAGCTAAAAAAGAAGAAACCCTGAAACCTCAAAGCTATATCCCTCTCTACACATCATGTTGCCGTCGCGTCAACCCCTGCGATCACCCAGCTTGGCAGGTTTCTTCTAAGTGGCTTTCTGTCTTTCTGGTGTACATGTTGTGAATGAGTTTGTGCAGTTGAAGAAGTGCCTGTGAGCAAAAGACCAAGGAAAGGCTGCAATGCTGTGTTACATGTGTGGAGACTTCAAGGCGACTCAATATAACATATGATTCGATCGTTTTCTTGTGCGCAGGAGCCGTCCACAGGAAAGCATCAAAATTGAGCGCTGCGCGTGAGATGCCAGTGATTACTTGGCATGGTTTAGGCTGTGAAGCATGGCACCGGTAGCCTTCCACATGTTGTGCCCCCGGTGCCAGTAGGTGAACTGGGCAGCTCGGATCTTGCGAGTCAAAACAGCACTGCCGGGAGTCCGGTCTGAGTGCTTGAGGTAAGACCTCAAGTGGCCCCAGAACCTATCAATAATTTGGGCGCCACTTTTCACCTTAACTCGCTCGCCACCGGGAAGGCTCAGGGAGTAGACCTTTGTGTAGTGCGGCTTGATCCACACAGCCTCGTCGGGAATGATACGTTTTATGTGGTTACATAATAAGACACAAACAGGAACACTGAACAAAGGTTAGAAATCCAAGGCCTTTCCGTTGATCTTGGCCTTTTTCTTTTGATGAACCACATTGCAATGCATCACCTGCGGGAGTTTCAGCTTGTAAGCTCGGGCGCCGTCGCTGTGCAAAATCACCTTGCGATTGGCGAGGTGTCGGTTGCCGATTGCAGACCAATCGCGCTTCCGAATGGGGCCTGGCCCTGGAGAGCGCTGCTTGTTTTTCCCGATGTCCACCTCGTCGACCTCCACGTCCTGCCACTTGCCACCCTAGGTAATGGACTTTTCCTTGCTTACCACATAGCTGGCCCGGGCGACATCCAAGTTGGCGTAGATGCGCTCCACGGGCTTGTCGCCCGTGTCCAGAAGCAAGTGGGTGGACTGACCTGGGACACTGGCCACAGCGCAATACAAGGCGGCCGCTTGGTGATTGAGCGAAGTAATTGATGACCCTGCTCCCATAAAGAAGATTGGGTGGAAATCGTGGGGCTGGACATGCTTATGGCACTTGAAATGGTTGCAACGATAGGCCCAAACGTTCTTGCCCTTCACGTGTCGCAGCTCACCGAGAGTGCCATTGCCGCAGCGAGGACACGACCGACCTTGCCAGTGAGGAAGAATGTGATCCTTCTGGAGAAGGTTGATGAGACGCCGGCCATTCATGGACATGAGCTTTTGCACAGACAGACCCCAACGTACACGATGAGCTCTGTTCTTGCTGGAGGGGATTCCGTGCCTGACATAGGGGACGGGAATGTAGGCCTTGGCAGCAGGACGTCGTTGAACACGATGCTTTCCACGCTTTGCATCCGGGAAGGGGGCCTTGGACTTGAGAGCCTTCATCACCTTCGTCTTGGGCATCTTGTAGATGAGTGAAATTCTTGCGGCGCTACACGTATGGATTCCTTGATATGAAATCGGCTAAAGGGAAGAATGCCAAATCACAGGTTCAGTGCAAGTTTACATGGCTGCTGGTCCTGCAGACTAGTGAGCCAACATATGGGCAACGTGAGTGCGCCTTTTAGTTCTCAGGCAGATGGCGGGGGACATGTACAAATCATGTAGTCCTTTGTGCGTACCGTAGCGGTAAGTTTATTCTGCGTGATCATTCAGATCCAAAATCGCAGCAAACACTATCGATCAACCTAAGACGTCCCTGCTCACTAGTCCGTAGCCTCTGCGCCCATCTCCTCGTCAATGACTTGCTCCAAGGTCTGAGTCAGGCCAGCATCATCAGATTCGACATCCATATCTTGGCCGTCGTCAGTGGGAGCAATGTTGGGGATGATGGGCTCTGCGCTGGGGACTTCAGTGGCATGGACGGTTTCAGGTGGAGCAATGTTGGTGACGAAGGGCTCTGTGCCGGGGACCTCGGCGGAATCGAGGTCTTGCTCTCAGGCATTGCGGACATAGAAGGGGATGTTGGTGCAGCTTGACGAGCGCTTGAGGATGCGGGTTCTGCATCTGCATTCTCGCCATCGGACGTGCTTGAGAGGTTGATGTGCAGGGTGCGGCCGGCAAGCTTCTTTTTGAATGCTGATGCTTTGTTTCTCGCGTCTTCCTCCAACTCTCTCTTCACGTTCACCTAACATCTACATAGGTAGCACTAACAAACTTAGGGTTTAGGGTTTAGGGTGTATGGTACGGCATATAAATAAAAGAGAGGGTCTTTACTAAACTCAAAACTATAAGCTTTGAATACGAGCATGGTGTGGCTTGAGGTTTGTCGGGCGGTGTAAGTGGGCTACAGAAGGTAGTACTAACAAACTTAGGGTTTGGGGTTTAGGGTGTATGGTACGGCATATAAATAAAAGAGAGGGTCTTCACTAAACTCAAAACTATAAGCTTTGAATACTAGCATGGTGTGGCTTGAGGTTTGTCGGGTGGTGTAAGTGGGCTTTAACATCAATCAATGCCAGTATTTCGGCATTTGCTGTAATTAGGATTACAGCTCGGATTTCTCCTGCAGGGTCTTGCTATAAAAGTGAAATGGCGCCCTAATTACAGCAAACCCATCCCAAAACCCTTTTGCATGCCTAGAAAAGCTTATAGCAAACAAGATACTCTGGGATGTGCTGCCTCATCGCTCTTGGTGCGCTGCTCACTCTCCTCTTTTGTCTCGTCTTTAAGAGTGCATTGGACGACTTGACGGACTTGAACTTGTGAACAAGCGCTGTGTCTTGATTGGTAGGAGTCACACCGTCGAAGTAGTGAATGGTGGTGCCTTCGACGCCTGCAAGTTCTGGACGTATCTCCTTCAAGAAGGTCCTGCCTGAAAGAAGTTCCCTGCCTCGAGTAGTGGAGCACAGAGGAACATCCTCCTGATCGATGGCAGCCTGGAGAAGATTGAGGCTCCACTGCATGTTCTTGGCGTGGTTGGCTGGAAGCTGTCTGAGATTGCCCTTCTGGTACGCAGCATAGGTAGGGCGAGCACTTAATGAGACCATTCCGAAGTCATCCTCTGGCCAAGCGACACGACGAACGGGTGCTCGGATAGTGCCTGGATGACGGACGTAGACGCCAATGTCGGTGAACACCACGAAGCACGCCCTTTTGAAGATGCCCATGAGATCTTCCTCATCGAAATCCTTGTGGAAGGAGGGGCGGACGATTTTGTAAAAGTCCTCAAAGGAGACGAGGTCCGACTGAATGCCTTCTGCCATTTTGGGTTCGGCGGAACGATCATAGGGATTTGAGCAGATCTGGCACAATTGGTTCTTCGCATAGGAAGACGCATTGTACCTCGCCATAGTCTTTCGATCGATACCTGATACCTCAGTCACGGCTTTCACCGACGCTGGATGCTCGAGGTTCAGGTTGCCATCGTCGAAAACCCGTGGCTTGGTACGACGCCCCTTCTCCTTGCGGAAATAGTCCAAGTGATTGCACGTTGGAAACATTGGCTTGTCATCACGTTCCTCTCGCAGTAACCAGAAAGCTGAGGTCACAGCAGAGATGATGTATGAAATCGGGCTCTTGCCTACACGAGAACGTCCAATCCAAATGATGGCATGCTCAAGGATGTGCTGCAAAACAGGACCCACCACGTGATTCAAGGCCCAAGGGGTGATACTCTTCAAAGTGAGTGGCCAGTCTTTGATTGTCTTGGCCTGGGAGCTTTGGTCGGCAAGGTTCCGCAAGAATTCCTTGATGACGCCGCGGTCCCACTTGAAGAGGGGGGAGTTCGGGCCATTCACCTGTTCCTCAGTCCACTCCGCGAATTGGCCCTCCGAGCTCTCCTCAGGACCTGACTGCTTGATGAAAGTAAATCCCGCCCTGATGTCCTCGGTCTCCTTTGGAGGTTTGCTAGAGCTACCTGCCGGGATAAGCCTCATGTGTCGAACTTGGAAGCCACCCAGGCCCTCTAGCAAGTGTTGCAGAGCACGCGAACCTTCGCGGAAGTGCTTCTGCAAGTTGATCTCCAAGGCCCGGCCGTGTACCATCCTGAGAATTGTTTGGTGGTTTACCTTGGTGTTGTCAACGAATTTAACGTGCTTCACAATGTGGTATTCATCAGGGCCGTTGGGGATAATGAAGAGCTGCATGTTGTAGGGGGTAAGGCAGCTGCCTTGCATCCCAAGAGGTTCTGGGAGATCGGCGTATCACTGCTGCAGGAATAACTTCTCTATTTCTTTAAAGTCGAAGTTCCCCTTGTGGTTCATAATGACGTCCAAAAACTGCAGCTTCTTTTTACCGGAGTCGTCCAGTTCATCCTTAGCAGGAAGGTCCCCAACCTTCACAGCGCCCGCCTCCTTGTGGACAATGAGAGGCTTCTCCAAAAATTGGAGTTTCATGCCATCTGTGTTGCCGATGGCTTCGTCCAACGTGATCTGACCATCTAGATTTGCCTCGTCGATGGACTGGGCGAGAGAAATGGGGCGGCGAGGAGCTTCACTGGCCATGCTGGCGAGCGGGAAACTGAGCGCAAGCTAAGGACTTTGACTGAGGATGAA